GGAGCCCCTCAGATGGTACGGGGGTTGTATTCGGGCAGCTTGCGGAGCTTCTCTTTTTCGGCGTCAGTCTCGTCGCGGGCGATCACCAGCGAGTGGGCGTAGCCCATGGCCACCTGGGAGGAGGGGCAGGGTGGGGACACTGAGGCACGGGGCCAGACGCCTCGCTCCCTGCTGGTTCCCCCCTCCCCTTTAGCCAGGACCACATTTGAGCAGCCCATGGGTGTGATGAGTTGTGTACAGCCTCAGCCACCGTATTTATCTCAGGTAGGGGTGTCCACATGCCCTCCCCCGGTGGGGACCCCTACTCACCTGCTCCGTGTAGATCCCATCCAGGGTCTTGACCTCTTGGGCGGCCGTTGAGGATTTGGGCTTGTGGTCCCCATAGCCCTGCCAAGTGCATCCCAGGAAGTGGGGGAAAAATCAACGGGGGGGAGTGGGAAGCAGCCAGTCAGGGGGGGAGTTTGGGGTGTCAGGGGACTGGAAGTCCCCGGTAAATCCTTCTTACCAGTTCCCCGAAGGTGGGCGAGGGACCCCAGCTGATGGTGCTCTCGTCCGCTGCCACGATGATGCTGCTCTTCCTGCAGCGGGGCGCAAAGGGCTTTGGGGTACATGGTGGACTCCCGGGAGGTGTTGGTGGCACCCCAAAAAAACAAGCCGCCTGCAAACCCCGACACTGCCTGTCAAGCTACAGCCACCCCCTTCCCCCCCCGAGCAGCCCCCAAACACCCCAAAAATAATGGCGCCTTTGCTTTAACATGCCAAAATCCCGACCTGTCTCGCTGACGGCGAAGGAGCACGTGTAGCCGGCGTAGATCTGCGCCGCCCCGCGCCCCGGGAAGTCGAAGAGCTTGACCAGCCGAGGCACCATCTCGTCCTTCTGCTCGGCATGGCCCAGCCGCCCATAACCCCCAAATCCCCAGGAGAAAACGCGCTTCTGCGAGTCCAGGACGAGCTGGGGATGGAGAAATATCCCCCCCGCCCCATGAGCAGCTGAGACCCAACCGGCTCGGTGCAGGAAAAGCCGCAGCAGCCACAATAAATGGCACGGATTGCAGTGCATATTGCAAATGCTAAATGCACGCTGCAAATCAAATCTGTCCTCAAATGCACGCTGCAAGTACTTATCCTGAAATGCACCCTGCAAATCTTTCCTCAAACGCACCCAGCAAATCTTTAGCCTTAAATGCACCCTGCAAATATTGAGCCTTAAATGCACGCTGCCAATCTCTATCCTTACACACATGCTGCAAGAATTTATCCTTAAATGCAGGCTGCAAGAATTTATCCTTAAATGCAGGCTGCAAATCTTTAGCCTTAAATGCACACTGCGAGTACGTATCCTTAAACACACACCAGAAATATTTATCCTCAGATGCATGCTGCAAATCTCTATCCTAAAATCCATGCTGCCAGTATTGATCCTTATAGACACACTGCAAATCTCTATGCTGACACGCTTGCTGCAAATCTTTATCCTTACGTGCGCGCTGCAAATATTTATCCTTATCCACACGCTGCAAATTTCAATCCTTAAATGCTCACTGCAAAACTTCATCCTACATGCACGCTGCGAGTATTTATGCTAAAATGCATGCTGCGACTCTCTAGCCTTAAATGCACCCTGCAAACATTTATCCTTGCATGCTCCTGCAAACATTTACCCCAAAATGCACGCTGCAAATCTTTATCCTTGCATGCTCCTGCATTTACCTCTAAATGCAGGCTGCAAATCTTTATCCTTGCATGCTCCCGCATTTACCCCTAAACGCAGGCTGCAAATCTTTCCCGATTAATGCAGGTAGTTGTGGTGAAACGCGAGCATCCACCCGTACCGTGTGGTTGGCCCCGCAGGCCACGTCCCGCACCACCACGTTGGGGACGGGCAGGATTTGCCCATCTTTGGTTTTCTCGATGAAGATGGCCACGCGGCGCGGCACCAGCTCGCAGTCGTACTCTATCCGCTGTGCCCGGGCGATGAATTTCCCATCCGAATTATGCCCTGTGGATGGGCACCGGGATGAAAATGGGGTGGGTGCCCCCCTTGCTGCCCCCCGTTATTTCCCAACCAGCTGCAGAAATCCCCCCTCCTCTTTGCAACCCCCTGTTCAGCTGCAGCCCCCACCCCACTATTTTTGCTGGAGGGATGCCTTGGTTGCCCAGATGGGGAAACTGAGGCAGGGAAGCTTTTCGCCTCCCCCAACCCTGTAATAGCTCGAAATTTTCGCAAAGCGCCCCAAAACGGCACCGTACCCAGCTGCCCGTACTCGGGGCACCCAAAGGAGTAGAGGTTTCCTTTGCAATCCATGATCATGCTGAATTCGGCCCCGCAGGCCAGTTTGGTGATGGGCTGCCCGTTGTACATGATCTGCAGGAGAAGCAGAGAAGGGGGTGAAAATAAAAAAAAGAGGGAGAAAAAGGTAAAAAACTTCATTTCCCAGGGGGACCCCCCCCAAAATCCTCAAATCTGGGGTTTTATTTGCAATTCTTGCGTTTTATTTTCCCACCGCAGTTGCAAATGAATCCCTCGTGGGGATCCATCATGGGCTGCTCTTGTGTCCGAAAGGCGTTTGGGCTCTGCTAGGGACTTTTTTTTAAGAACCCCCCAAATCTGCTGGTTTTTCCACCCAAAAAGCCGCGAGGGGAAGCACAGGAAGGAGCGGCGATACCTGCGCAGGGCTGGGCACGGCATCCGTCTGGTTCCCCAGCCCCAGCTGCCCCATTTTATTCTCCCCGAAGGCGAACACCGAGCCGCTCTCTATAATGCAAAAAAAAATAAAAATAAAAATACAGGCGATACGGGGCAAAAAGGGCTGATTTCCGACAATTTGGCCCAAATGTGAGGGGTTTTTCTCCCCCTCTCATACCTGTAAGAGCCAGCGTGTGGTTGCGGCCGCAGGCTGCCAGCACGATGGCTTCGCCCCCCAGCACCTCGATGAGCTTCGGGGCTTCCACCCGCTTCGTGTCCCCGTGTCCCAGCTGCCCTTTTTCATTGCGACCTGAGCAAAAAGCAGGGGTTTTTGCAGCAAAACAGGAGGATGAAGCCTCCCGGCATCATGCAGTGATGCACCCCGGGGTGGGGGTGGGGGTGTTTGGGGTGCCCCCCCCGTTGCTCACCCCAGCTCCAGAGCTTGCCCTCGGCGGTGATGAGCAGGCTGTGAGCAGCGCAGGGGCCCGACACCACGCTCCGCACCTGAATACCTGAGAGACACCCGTACCTGTGCGGCCCCCACAAGTTCTGGCCCAGATTTCGATACGCAACTGCATTAAAAAAAAAGAATTAAAAAATTAATTAAAAAATGAATTCAACGTAAATGCATTAAAAATAAGCAGAATAAAACTGAATAGCAAGGCGTAAAAAGCAAGCCGTGCATTTATTTTGGCTTTGCAGGAGGTCCAGAGCGCCCCAAGTTCAGGCCCAGGTTGTGATGTGTGACTGTAACCCCTGCCCAGATTAATTAATAAACAAATTAATTAAATATAAATGCATAAAAATTAAGAATAAAACTGAATATCAAGGTGAAAAAAGCAAGCAGCGCATTTATTTTGGCTTCGCAGGAGATCCAGCGTGCCCAGAGTTCGGGCCCAGATTGCGATACGCAACTGCAAAAAAAAAAAAAACCCTCCAAAAAGATGACTTAATTAAAAATTAATTAAATATGTACGCATAAAAAAGAAGCGGAAAAAGTGAATTAAATTATAAAAGTGTAAAAAATCAGCAATGCATTTATTTGCTTTGCAGGAGATCCGGTGCCCCGTGCCCCCCAGGTTCTGGCCCGGATTACAATATGTGACTGTACCCCCCCGGTAATTAATGATGTATAAATGCATAAAAATAAGCTGGGAAATTAATTAAAATATAAATGCATCAAAAATAAGCAGCGCATTTGTCCTGCTTCGCAGGAGGCCCAGCGCACCCCGCGCCCCAGGTTATAACATGCAACTGGTTTAAAGAAAAAAAAAAGCAACACAAAATATTAATCTTTTTAAAAAAAAAAGAGATAAATGCATAAAAATAAGCAAAAAATTCCTGAATTCAACCCGAAACGCCCCAAACTGCAGCGCATTTGGCCCCGTGCCCCTCACCCTGCTGCTTAGGCACTTCTTTGCGGCCGATCAAGTCCCAGTTGGTGGCCCCGAAGATGAGGAGCTGCCCCCGGCACTTGGAGCCCTCGAGTTTCTGCAAGGAGGCGGGAGACGGTCAGCGAGCCGGAGACACAGGGGACATCAGGGAACATCAGGGACATGGGGGCACAGGGGACATCAGGGACATGGGGGTGGGGATGTGGGGGACATCAGGGATGTGTGGG